ACGGATGAGAACTGCATACGACCGACTGACTAATCGTATGGGGCAGATGTACCGCCTAATCGTAGCTTGGGATCGGAATGAGACATTAGATATCCCTTACTACCCTATTACAGAGCTAATCAAAATATATAGCTATATCCAGGGACACAGATTACACTGCTTTAACAATCCCACGCAACTTCTCGCTCACTTGATCGAGATTCACGAGCAGGGCCCTACCGGCGATTATATTGTTTATCCACCGCCTGGACACGCCCATGGCGCTCATAGTGACCGGGATGACAGGGATACGGTCAATAGTGATATTCCAGAACACATACCCGGAACGGTGTCGCCGATAGCTCCCTCTGAGCGGATTGGCTCTCCCATGCTCTCTGAAGACCAGGACATCGAGTTCAAAATTTACGAAAACATGGGTCCGGAGACGTTCCGGGAGAACCCATATATTGGTGGGCTCGATGACCTCGACATCAGTAGAGGCTCCATAGATGAAGACTATGACAGTCCGGTTTATCAAACTTCTCCGGTTCGCTCTCCCGCATTATTTGATGTGTGGCGATCTCCAGATGTCAACTTCTTTTCGGACGAGGATGATGATGATTCTTTTTCAAATCAAGACACCAAGGAAAAAGAGGTACAGCCGATCGAAATTGAAGAAGTTGGTTTGGATACAGAATTACATCGACTCCTCAAACGAGTAGATTCTCCCAGAGCCCTTTCTCAAAGTCAACCACAGAATCAGCCACAGACCCAAAACCAGAATCAAAACCCAAACCATGATTTAAGTCAACGAGAGAGAAATGAAATTTACGAATCAGTTCGGTCTTTCCAGCACAGACCGAACCCCGTGATATTCCAATTCATTGTCCTTACAAAAATGGATAGACTTCGAGTATATTTCAACAACATGATAAAAGTGCTTATTCAACTTAGCCAGGCTTTGCCCTTGCTCAATCTCAACGCAGGAACGCCTCTGGGACTAAGATCACGAAATCAAATTGTCGATATAGTAAATAACCTGATGCGCGATTTGAGAAATTGGGATGCGATTATGCGGGTGATATTCGATACCGCCATTCGACCGAATTTTAGAACAACTCTGTTAGGAGAAGAGGCAATGCGACAAACCCTCAATCCTTACAATATACTCGAGCATCCTGTGCAAGCAAATGGCTCTTATTTAGGATACAATCCTACCGATTTGCCCTATGTACGTCGGATCTGGACTAGAGGGCATGGTGGCGATTGAGTTTCTTGCCACTATGCTATCTCCTTGAACAGTTGAGGTGTACGGATAATAAGTGTGTAGTGTATATGGATAAATCATTCGGATTTAGTTGATATATCTCACAGGAAATCCCTAGCTTGTAGAAAGAACCTCCTCATTGTTAAGTCTTCATATATCGACGGGATTAAAAATCCATCCAATCGGCCGCGATCCCTGTACTTTTCTTTGATGTTTGCTGTACGACATCTGATAATCATAATTAACCTTATAAGAATTAAACACTCTTTTCGAACGTGCCTTCAATAAACCAGGAATCTATCGGAGATGCCCTTGAATGTGATCATCTTGAACCAGATGTTTTCGACTTGTAACCAGGTTGAAGGCCAGGAAACCCCACCTGTTATTCCGAATTTTCCGACGGTTCATTTGTCGTCTGAATATTGGTAAGCAACGGAGTCCTCGAGCTGCCTCCTGGTCCCTGTACTTCCTCATAAATTGGTAGTAAATCGTTGAAGCTCACATGCCCTCTAAGAGCTTGTGCTCAACTTCCCGTTAGGGACTGGGATACTCTGCGAAGGTCTCACGGACGGCTTAAAAATGTGTTGTTATAGACGTCGCTTCCTTCCCAAAAAGGTATCCCGTTTGGTGCAACAGAATGGAAGGAGGAAAATATTGGAAGCTCAAGATCGATCACGAAATATTGTGTGCTACAAATTAACTGCAATCTTCCTTAAAGACAAACTCAGTCCCAAGGTATATTGCTAGCGTTCAACATTTCTGGGAGCCTACGAAGCGGCATGGGCAGGCGACCTTGACCATCGTCTCCCCAAGCTATAGCGCTACGTTCCGATGTTCCATCACATTACTTGCCTCCGATGTCGCGCTGCGAGGTGCCACAAATCGTGAGACTTTGAACCTGGATGAGGGGTAAAAAGAAATTTGATACCTCGCAATTCGAATTGAATGGAAGAAATTCGCCTACCTACCGAGATGAGACACATACGCGAGTGGCAATACCTTCACGTCAATAAACAACATTTGCAACTAGGACGCGCCATCCTGTTATCAGATGCAGAATTGAGGCACAGAAAGCGAACGGGACGGTCTTCGACTCCGGGATCTTTATCACCGGATTAACTAGGCTTTGGAGGCATGCTCTTGCCTCTTCCCGTCATGAGACTCTCAAGTATCGATCGAGTCCTCGGATTGAAGTTGGACCGAGTTTGTTGGTTGAAAGTATTGGCATTATGAATCGGGTCGTCCATTTTGAGGGATATACCTTCGCGTTTTTTTGTTGAGATTCTGCTTCGCATCTTGTGGTGTAGCAAAGCTAATCGCCTGAAGATTTGAATATGCGCCGTAGGTTAATTATGTGCTGAATCAATTAAATTTCAAATAATTGTGTTTTTCTCATATTGTACGAAGCGGCTAGTTTACAAGACATATATATACGGATTGAATAGTAGAGCTCTACGATAGTACTATAGTTTTATGATCCACTCTCGAATAGCTGGTGAACTCAATCCAACACCAAATTCGTATTTGCGATCGATGGTCACTTGAATTGAACTCTAAGTGCGAAGAAGGTACAACGGTCTTGATAACCATAATCTCTGAACCTTGGCTAGGAAAAGCCCCAGCATCGCCTCACGACCACCAACTTACAAGGGTTGTGCTTGATAGTCTCATCTTTTGAATTTCCAGCTTCCCAAGGTCGACGCCAAGATTACTAAACCACCAAGTTTGGATGGTGGGATTGTTGACCGTGTTGTAATTTGGCCAGGGCAACGCATTGTGCAGGCGATAGTAGCACTGCAAATGCCGGGGCCTTATTCCGCACCCTGTATTCGCGCCCCCATGACCGGGTTCAAGGTATGTGGTTGTGGAAGCCCATCAGATACACCTGCCATGCGATTTCTTGGACGATATGGCGTTTCGAAGGTAGCTTTGCCGTTTCCTGCTCCGATCGAAGCTTAACCGATGCCTGGTATGAAGATCACACGGCCTTGTGCTACGAATTGCAGGCTTTTGTCTCGAGGATATAAACGTCGTGGATCGTCGCACCGAGTTTGGATTCAACACCACGTTCAGATCAATATCTCCTTCAAAGCCCGCAAAGCCAATCGCAGATCCACTGCTAGTTTCTTGCCTCTTGCGCCACTTCCCGGATACTTTAAACCGGTTTATCTTCTCCAGAGAATTTTAAGATCAGACATTGTCTATTAATTCCCCCTCTATCTCTCAAATTTCACGAATTTTCAATTCTCCAATCTTCAAATACCCCAATACACCTTTCAAAATGAAGTACACAATCGCCCTAGCTGCTCTCACCGCTGCCGTCAGCTCCATGCCAACCCCGCCAAAGCCAGTTCTCATGAATGCTGGCCCATTTTCTCTTCAAATCGCAGCTCCAGGCACTGCGTAAGTAATTCAACTAGCTCTTGGCAAAACACCTACCAATACATGTCTCTAACATTTTATAGTCTTCACGATCAATACATCAACATCAACCCCACAAAAAATGTTGCCAATGGCAAAGTTATGGCCGTAGCTGCTGTCTCCAAAACCCCCAGCCAGAGATTCGAAATTGCATATGAAAGCACAGAGAACGGAAGACTGGTCTACACACCTGAAGCTACCCCAGATGCCTGCAAATTCTTCCTATGCCCTTCCCCAGGAACTCCTGCCGGGTATGATAAGAATTTTGGACCAGTAGAATACGTCAGAGACAACATGAGAGCCATGTTTTTCTCGCCCGGTTCCGCTCCTACTAGTTCATCCGCCGCAAACGGACCATCGGACTCTGCCGATGATTCGCTAAAGGTCTGGACCGATTTCCAAATCGACTACGAAGGATTCTTGACCCTTGGCGGCGAGAGCAGCTGGTGGGTGTGCCCGACGACCTACCCACTTGGGGAGGGTGATAAATACATGAACCTCTGGTGGGCCAATGGCAGCGTCAGCGACGACAGATGCAAGCAGGTCAAGGTTCAAAGAGCCTGAAATGTTTGTAGCTCACCATACGATATGATTTCTCTTCTAATTTAGCCAATTTATTGTATACCCTTTTTGTGCATCTAGCGCTTGTTTTTTTCTATGTATATATTCACTTCTATTTTCGACGGACCAGAAGGCCCTGATTGAAGAGACCAATATCAATGCAATATCGGTCTTTAATATAATTCTTCAAATTTTTTCCACTACAGACTATACGAAATTGTGAGGTGATTTCCACAATATGACACTATTTATTAATTTGTTTCCTTAACTTTCATAAATACGAAACCTGATTTTTAACTTACATTGAATATCAAAGTGTACGGTGACTCATCTACATCAAAGAACCCAAGGTTGCCTGAAGCCCAGAAAGCCACCAACACAAAATATCCAAGCTTCAAAGGATTGTTCTCAGTTAATTACGGAGAACCGAAGCACCAAAACTAAATCGTATGTTCTTTATTGTATGTTCCACAGGAACGGTATTAAGATCTGAAGCTGTATTTTGTTATTTCTCGCTTACATTAGTATGCATGCAGCTAAAGTAGCAAGCTTTCAACGCAAACCTTTGGTCCAACTAGATCTGAAAAACATTTACAACCAAGCTCTATTCCTTAGTCCGCCTCAGTTAAAGCCTATCCAAATTCATACCTCGGTCACCTTGAATCGAGTTCCAGACTCAATCTTTGAAATTTCGCTATTCTAGCCAGTATTTCGTCTAAAAGCTGCACTAAATCCGAATATATAGTACAATTCATGCCCCCACATCATCCTATCCGATATGGTGTAGTGGCTAACATCGTTCGCTTTCATGAAATCAGAAATGACTTCAAGAGGCCCGAACAGCCCCGGGTTCGATTCCCGGTGTCGGAAGATATGATAGGTATTACCTTTTGACTCTAACTTCGGTCGGGTTCTTTTTTTTCTCGCCGTTGGTTTTTCTCTTTTTGGTGTTGGTATTTTGCTTGCTGCGGAAAGTTTTTCGCGTTGGCTCGATTGGTTCAGACGGTTTCACTAGGACTTGTAGGAGCTCTGTCGACTCACAGAACTTTTATCTTTACTAGTATCAATGCATGTCTTAGCAGGTGTCGCCAGCGTTGTAAACGTTTAAACTTATCAGAATCAGTCAACATTTTGAGTGTGAAAATATTAATGGTCTATCAAAACTCCAATAGCGAAGTATATGTACTCTGCCCGGGCAAAAATAAAGATCGAGCTGGGAATAGTTAGTATGTATGTTTATATTTAACGTTAGTTATAAACCGTTACACTTATATAGACACAACTCGAATCGCTTTGCAAAACTGGTAAAATACTTTTTCACTTAGCTAAATACTCAAATCAGCCGAACATCCGCTAAAACATTATAATTCGCCTGATGCGTTAGTAAATAAACTTTTGAAGAATCGGCATGACATCTATACGCCAAATCCATGAGAAATATCCTTAATTGTAAAAGCGGAATCATTTTCCTAATAACTTTAAGCCTATCCTTCTCATCACTGCTCGCACCTAGTGCCCAAGTTACAAACTGCCGCCGTGTCCGCGAGCCAGCTACATGATTGAACATTTTAAGGTCCAATCCTGTCATTTCTCTCACAGACTTTGGCCGATCTTCGAGGTCAGGAATTGGAATTTCAGGAATACAAGGCCCGTCGTCGTCTTTCCAATCGTTCAGGATATCGGCTAAACAGTCTTCTATACTGTTAATGTCACTGACGAGAAGATCTATTCGATTGCCGAGCTCGAACCAAAGAGCTAGGAAGTCAGGAAGCAAAGGGTCAACTTTTGAACGAAAGCCAAACCGAGAGCTTGTGACTAGTTTATCAAGTTTCAATCGTCGCGAAACATCCGTTTTGGATATCTTTTGTGCTGCGGAATGGAATCTAGTGAGCCGACCGCCACTTTCCTTTTCCAGGATGCACCAGAGCGCCTGTAGACGACAATCTACCAGGAGGAGTGCAAATGTGAGGGCACTTTCTAAGGTATAATATCGGTAATCGAAGGAGCCCGTGGTTTCAATATACTGCCGTGCTTGCTGAGGCGTTGCACCTTGGAGAAGGTTAATGATGACGGAAGGTAGGTAGAGAAGTCCGTCCGTTTGGTCTTGCCATGTCTGCTCTACGATATCAGATTCCCAAGGCTCCAGAACAAACAAAGAAGGAAACAAGGCCCAACTGTAAGCGAGAGGGAGCCCAGGGAGATAATGAGTAATGACATCAAAGTCTGACTTAGCGCGTATTATAGGTAGAGTGTCATACGCCAAACCGAGATCTATCTGTGGATGCTGCCGCAGTTTCAGGTAACATTTGCTTTGCTTCCCCAGGCCCTCGAACCAGTTTTTCCTACTAGCATCGAGATGCTGGTAATACGGAGTTAAAAATAGCTCCAGGGGTGCTGCTGACCAAATTCCATGGAATGGCATTATCGCCATATACTTTATAATTGTAGGAGAGCATCCTCCTTGAATGGTAGTCCAAATCTCTGACCACGACAGTTGACTATTTTTTGATAATTCCTGGTACTTTGTGGCTTGTTGACGAGGAGAGGCCCTCGTTATCATTTTGAGTTTCTCTTCCAACTCATTTGGGTGGTGTGCGATGTGATCTACAGATATACCCCTCTTGTACCTGTCCCAGTGCGTATTATTCCACTGGTGGGACAGACCGTACAAATAGACCGTTTCGTCAAAGTAGTCTATATTGGTATAGATGTAAAAGCCGGCAAGATAACCTTGTGCTATCGCACATATGACTTCCATTTGCTTCGAAGAGATAGCACTGAGCCGTTCCTCGAGTTGGCTAAAACTACCGTCGATGCTAACCGCTCGCCCGAGCCCTGGTATCTGCTGGGTTGTGACTCTTACAAAGGCATTTTGTGCCTCAATCGACCCATGGGCAATATCAATATCGATATTTTTGATATTTACCATATAGCAGAGAAGGCAAAGATGCTGGAGCTGCATTCTTTGGATCGGAACATCCACAGCCATGGGAATGGTATCCGCATCCTCGTAGCCATCGAGACCCATCTCGTCTGGCATAACCCCTAGCACACCCAATATATTCGCCCACCCTGCTTTTGAGAAACCTCTATCGAACCTTTTCCGTTTCGTCAAGCAGAACCAAACCCATGATATCTTCTGAGATAACGAAAGATCCCAGAATGTAAGGGCCGGGCCATCTGCCGCAACAATGATATGCCCACGGTCTTCTAAATCCCAAATACTCCCCACTTTACCAAAATTCTCACTAAGATTATCATAGTAAAGCCGAGGCACAATGTGCCGATCGTAGATGGAATGGTTTTCACCTGCCCATACCGACAAATTATGGAAAGAAGTGGATTTATTGGCGATTAGAGTGTCGGGATCCAACTTCAACCGAGGGTATTGGACTTTTATTCTCCATCTTGTGATATCCCATCGTGTCTTGGTATAAGCAGACCATCCACCAATAGCTCCGCTAAGACATTTATCTCTCTGGCTCGATGTGAGATATTGTAGAAGCGCCTGGAGGAAAGCAGCCACGAATGCAATAGCAGCAAAGATTAGGGCGGCTAGAGCAAGTGTCGAATCTAAATTGCTCGAATTCTGGGATTGGACTCCTGGGGTTATTGTTACAGCGGGAGAGCGCTCTTCGATTGTCCTTGATAGGAACGGCACGGTCATGTTGATCACCGGCTCCGAGACCCGAGTATTTGGACCTCTGAACTTCGATCCCGTCTTCTTGGTCCAGAGCTCTTGGTACGGCTAGCGGCGCACACTTTAGACGTCGAAATGATCTCAGAAGCCACGTTCTAGGTCAGACGGCATACGGCGGGAAACCTGCTCGAAGGTAACCGCTGAGGCTGGTTACGTATTATGTTGAATTCAGATGTTCTTTCCGAAGGGCGACATGAGCAGAGTGCGGCTGATCGATACCCATCGTCGCGATTTTGGTCGGGAGCCAGGGGAGACGCAAGGTTTGTCTCTGGTGCCTGGGATCCTTGTGATTCGTTGAAGCGAGATCCGAATCCAAACCAGATCAAGGCACGGACCTTCATGCTTCATTAATCAGCGAACAATAGGCTGATTTCTGCGACATTCGATATTTCTCGATCTCTCTTGCGTAGCATAAACGAAACTATTAGATATGGGTCAAGAGAATTCAGTAATATGAGCGCACGAGTTTCAATGAGGATTGACAAAAGTAAACCCCATTACATCACAAGACGCTAATTTTGTGTTACTCTGGCTCAAAATATTCATCGAACGATTGGCGAATAGATGCAGATTCGAAAGATTCATCGACGTAACAAATTTTTTGCATATTTTTAACTCACCAAACCTTCGCCAGAAAATTTCGAGTTCTAAAATTTTTTCCGAAAAATAGGATACCATAAGCGGGAATCCGGATTCCCAAGGGTTCCTGCATAGAGCTCGTTCGTCGACAATGTCGCTCAGATCCCGATCCTACGAAGCAATCTTCAAAGATCTTTGAGCAACGTATGTAGTGCATTGATTTCATCAAATATAAATCTCCCGATGATATAAAATTTCTCGATAGAGCCAGGATCTCGAAGCCACACACTGCTGCCTGGTGCTCCTTATTTCATGAAACTTCGATGCAATAGATCTACCGGTTCGGCTCTCCATTTCAAGAGGTTTTAGCGATGGATCGATATTGACAAGTTCCCGAGCCCGCGATCGTCAGGGCACTTCGCCTTTGTTCAAACAATGACCAGGACCGCATAAGAATCCCAGCATGTATCTGAATCTTTGACTCAGATATGTTAGGTAGAAATTTTCGTTAAATGAACCACTATTAAAACGTGGAAATTCGGATAGAATTGATCAATGAGGTTTAATAGAGGCTGCGTGACAGATTCGAGCTCATGATGGCATTCAGCTGAGCTCTGAAAATTTACGCTCTTCCATTTTATTTGTTATCCATCCGAGCACCATTCCCAGTCTGTCCCAACTCTCGGACCAACAAGACAATTAAGTACTAGGCTGCGGAGACAAAATGGCTGGGCCTTAACCGAATAAGTTTCGCTCGCCAAGCCGGGGCCTCGCGTGCTGGAGCGAGATCGATCAAGCCCCAGCACACAGCCAGGTCCCAAAATAAGCTTTGCAACCTCGTCCAATTGAAAGTTCCGATTCAAAATTGAAGAGATCTATTAGTCCAGCAAACCATCTCAGCAAGGGCTTTCGTTCACTGGAAAAAAAAATTTTCCCCTTGCGGCATGCATCCCAGTGACGCAGGTGGAGCTCCGATGCTATCTGAAAATTCGATGTTCCTAATATCTCCAAGTTCCTTGATTCAGAGGAAAAGCCATTAGGACACTTGTAAAAACTCAACGTGGAAGTACAAGGCAACGTCGACATGATTAAGCTAGTACGTACTGCGGCTCTCGTCGGCGTTCTATGAAAGCAAATATCAAAAATGAGTAGTCGCAACTAGGCAATAAGTCCGTTCGAAGATCTGATCATTCGGGTTGATTTCATTGGGTCAGCGCGTGAACCTGTTGGAGAAAAGTGGGTCGTCCAGCTGAAACATCCCCGCAGAAAGCAGAACATCCAAAGTCAATCATGCCCTTATACGTCAACACAGACATCATTCTGCAGTTCCATCCGGATTTCACACTTCCACCGCATTAAATTTGGTACTTTCACGACACTAAAACGATTGAAGCTTAACGTGACCCGAGGTTGAAATGCTGATCGGCATATTATAGGGATTCTGTACTATTCCCGGCATCCTGTAACGGCTCCTTTTAGACATCTTGAATACATAAAGGACGTCTCCCATCCTCCAAAATGCTCCCAGAACATCACCAGCACTTCTCAACCGCCCGTTGTATAGTCTACACTTCACTGTGGAACTCTAGAG